CTCAAGAGTACAAAATGTCTGTAATGAACTGTTGTTCGTTCTGTAGAATATTCTAAATGTTCTTAGTATTACATATATTGGATTTTAAATGTTCTTGTATATTACACCGATTTTTAGCATTTACTAGTGCTAATAACGTGTTCAACGAATAGAGATGCACCGCAGAATTCTGTGAGTGAGTGTTTGAATTCATTTGTGAGATCATTGTATAACATTCATACGTTCATTTACAGAAATGATAATGAGCCAACTATATTGTCGATTCTCGTTCGATCATTGATGATCAGCGAAAGTCGTAACAAAAACCTCGCAAGACTTCTACAATTAGTCAAGTCTTAAATTCTGCTTAATCAATATATTAAGTCATCATCATCAATAATATAGTTTGATATAAAACAGTAATATAATAAACAACACATATAACGTCAATTATTTATAACAATGCAAGAATAAGAATTTGTAATACATGAACATAATGTAATTCCATAACAATATAAATATAATATAATGGAGCGTTATTAATAGGGTAGCCAAGGATACCCAAAAGTATTATATAAAATTTTATTTTGTTCAAAATATTTTTTTAAAATTATTGTCACTATATTAAATTATGTCACGCATTAAATAAAGCAGGTAATGTTTATTAAACTCAAAAAGAACGATATCACTTATAGGTACTCCTATATATTTATGTGTATACATTTGTCTATTCAATTATACAGATCTCTTCAAGAGTCGAGCAAATCATCGCAAAGCACAAGAAGCGCAAACGACGAATTATCATTTCTAAAGAAAAATGTCGTGGGTACCTCCAAATCTAACAAGCATTTGCTCTACCAGTCCTGAACTGACATCCTGTCAACCACAAGCACTTACGTTTCTGGCACTCATCACTAATCTATTCGGTAATACCAGTGACGTGTCCTGTCCACATAATGACACAGGTAAATATAGATGAAAATAATTCAACTATGATACAGGAAAATGTAGAACTAAAGTGTTGCGTAGCCAAAAATATGATGTGCAATAAATACGCTCAATATGAGCAGTGTCAATAATAGATTAACAGAGAAGAATCGATCCCCTAATCTCCAAAATGTCGGACTTCTACTTGAGGGACAATATTTCTTAACTTTGAAAGTAAAGATTTAGTAGAAAGAAGTTTTTTCCGCAAAATGGATTGGATAGAAGAATCAAAACCGCATATGCAGAATTTGATGCTTGTAAAGAGAACTTGAAATAAAATTAGATAGTCTCAACATCACATTTACATTAAGTAAAGGAGGTTGACATCTCAAAATGCTCACATGGTTCTTATTTTCGTAATAATTTCTTGGTGAAACATTTATGGACACTTTGCTAAATGATAGTTTTGTCTTATGTTTACCTGCACAACATAATCGCAAAGATAGCATACCAAATATCGGAACACTATAAATTTAAATTGCAATTTTATCAAACTGAAAGATAATATTCTCATTGTTCCAAATGATACATGAAAAGATTTGTTGCATTGAAAATGAAAAATATTAGTGGAACTAAAATTTCGATCGACAGAATTACGTCTGTTAATACATGTCTGTATATATGTGTTCTTGGTATTTCTATACTCGATAATTTCGGTGAAATATTTTGGAAATTTCCTTTTATTTTAAACAATTCATATGATCATTGAACTTTGTAAAAGAATGCGTTGCAGTGCAACAGTGTATCATGTTTCAAACTGAAATATAATATTATTGATTGTTATTTGTTTACATAATAATTCTCTCATAACATTTGAGAATGTATGCTGATATATTTCAAAATAATTAAAAATATAACTACAAATGTTATTATTTATAATTAATATTTTATTTATACAAAACGGATTTTTCAGAAAAGGAATACGATTTTATAATCGTGGGAGCTGGATCAGCCGGATGTGTTCTTGCAAACAGGTTAAGCGAAATAAACGATTGGAAGGTATTTGTAATTAATTATTTGGTGTCATTACTAAATGCGGATGCCTGTCACGAGACATACTTTCTAATATTTCCAAACAATTGAAGAAAATTAAAGCTAGATAAAAGATAGTATATTTGTACAAATTACAATCTCACTGAGGATATTTAGAGGGCATTTATATTCATATAAAATTTTATTCGGATTATCGATAATATTTCATCATCTCTGACGTTAGATAATCCGAAAAGTGACTATGACACGCTATTGGTACATTTCGATTCACATTTCACTTTATATGTCTGGAATTTCTATTGAATCTACTAAATGAGATTACAGGTCAATTCTGTATAGTCTGATCTTGATTTGAAACACATATGTATGCGTTATCTGAATTTTAAGACTTTCTGAAAGTTTTTCGTCTACTAAAAATCAGAACATATATGATCCCCGTTAGGAAAACAGATTGCTAGAAATGGGGAAATTCATTTCAGCTATAACTACTTTCAAACGTTTCGGGACAATAACAAAATTTACACATTAACAATTTATGACAGTCCGCTGAAATTTTATATATACCTTCAGATATTATTATTGGAAGCTGGTATGGAAGAACCAGATGTAGCTGATGTTCCAGCTTTCGCCAATCTGCTAGCAGGCAGCAATATCGATTGGAGGTATCACACACAACCACAGCAGTACGGTTGTCTAGCCAGGGCGAACAGAGAGTGTGTGGTCCCAAGGGGTAAAGTATGTATACATATATTTTGATACACTAACTTTCTAGAATTATATACGAGAAATTGAATTGTTGTTAAGAACTAAATGTAAAGGTAAAAATTCCTAATTGTTTGTATGCTATTGGTATAGTATGCGTGCATGTGGTGACACACGAAAATACTCGTACACAAAAGACTCTTTTTATATGTGTATAATATATATGTATAACATATATGTACAAGTAGCCTCACTTAAATGGATCACCTTATATATATACTTAAAAATCTACAAAAATACAAACAAGTATAATACCGATATTAAAAGGACAAAAATTTCACCCGCACCATTTACCTATACATCGAGCTCTTCACGGAACAGATTTTCGTATTCGCATACATCCTTCGCAGTGGGATTTACAGTAATACGAAAGTGACCAATCATTCTTTAAAAGATAAACTTAAATTTTGGTACATCAATGTTAATCAATTAGTGATCTTTTGGTACCATTCATGTTTGGCGAGAAATATTTTTTGCATCATCACAATTCAAAAAAATATTCAAGTGGTACTCACTTAAAAGATATATCCTGTATATGTAATATCTACATTTATACATAATATTATTATAAGATTAATATATTATATTATACTATATTATACTAATATAATACAGTATAATACAGTATAAGATAATTAATATATTAAACACTCGATTATTATAGTGTTACTAATACTTATGAAACTTGCAAAATATCTACGAATATAGAACTTGGAAATATTGCACTTCTTTAATCTATAAATTAAAATATATATGGTTCTCATGCGAATGTTTTTTGGTATTTGGGCCTTTGTAAGTTTATTATCACACTTACAGGTGATGGGTGGTTCTAGTACTATCAATACGTTAATATACGTCCGTGGTAACAGAAGAGACTACGACGAATGGGCAGAAGCAGGAAACGATGGCTGGAGCTACAAAGATGTTCTACCATATTTTCTTAAATCAGAAAATAACTTGAACCCAGAGGTATTAAATTTAGAATCTGTATCACTCAATACCAAGAACCACTCAGGTAAAACTTCCATTTTCTCTAGATAGTGGAAGAGAATCCACATTACCATAGGCAAGGTGGTTACCAATCTGTAGAACGATTTGCGTACGACGACATCAACAACGATATCATACTGAAGGGGTGGAATGAACTTGGTTACGAATACGTAGATGTCAATGCAGAGACCCAATTAGGTATAATGTATCTACAAACATTCTCCGCCAATGGGACACGTCAAAGCACTAACAAAGCGTTCATACAACCCATCAGATGCGAACGCACAAATCTAACGATTAAAACAGAAACATACGTTACTAAATTGCTTGTAGACAATGAAAAAAAACGTATAACAGGCGTCGAATATACTTCAGGAAACAACCGAACTAAATTAAACAAAGTTCTTGCTAAAAAGGAGGTGATTGTTTCAGCTGGAGCCATTAATTCTCCAAAAATCCTTATGCTCTCTGGAATTGGACCAAGAGAAGAATTAAAGAAACATGGTATTCAAGTAATTAGAAACTTATCGGTTGGAAGGAACCTTATGGATCATCCAACAATGAGTAGTGTTGTAATTAATATCAATTCTACTGCCACGTATGAGAATCTCTCCATGATGGAGGAAGACGTTTCCAATTATAGGATGACACATGGTGGACCTTTATCTGAAATTGGTACTCTCTCAGCCTGTGCTTTCGTACGAACATCCTATGAACACGAAGAAGGAGTACCAGACATAGAATTTTTATTCCGTGGTACTATTCGAGAAGATTTTCTAAATGATCCAGTAAATTCTTATGACGAAAATATCGTCCCATTCTGTTACTATGATGCTATTAACATTGTGCCAAATTTATTGGCGCCTAGAAGCAGGGGAAATATATTACTGAACAGAAGTGATCCTATATGGGGAGCACCCTTAATTGATTATAGGTATTTCTCCAATGAAACAGATTTGGACGTGTTAACGGAAAGTGTGGAAATAGCTTTAAAATTGTTTGATACAGACTCGTTTAGGAAAAACGACTTCAGATTGATTAATAAATCTTTGCCTGGTTGTGAAAAGTATGAGTTTGGTCGGAGGGATTATTGGAAATGCGCGATCAGGCAGTATACAGAAACTAATTATCATCCGTCTGGAACTTGCAAGATGGGACCAAAGTCGGACCCAGACGCTGTGGTGGATGAGAGATTGAAGGTTCATGGAATCGATGGTTTGAGAGTTGTGGATGCCTCGATTATGCCAAGGGTTACTAGAGGAAATACGAACGCACCTACTATTATGATCGCGGAGAAAGCTAGTGATATGATTAAGGAGGATTTTGGTTGTCTGGCTGATGGTGATGATGATGCAGCGTGATGGATTGATGAGTCGAGGAAAGATTAACTGTGGAAACTAATAAACTAACCCCGATTTATGCACTGTAATAATGAAATAAATATTAAAGTAATAAATAATGTAATCATGTAATGTAGAAATAAACTAATGTGTACACATTATGGTATGGAGTAATATTTAGATGAAATATAGTTTATTTTCCCTTTCTATTTAATAAATTGTTAATGTCGAAACAAGTAATAATGGAAGTGTAAGGAATGTATATATAATTATACAATTTATACAATTCGACGTCGATACAAAAGTCACTGCAGCTTGTCTGACTCGTGCGATAGCTCATATAGAATCTAATTGCCCTTGTCTTTTTTTTTTTTTTTTGCTTGTTAGTGATTTTCTCGCAGTGCCGGAGGACCCTACATAGAAAACGTGGGGATTAGTTGTGTTGATGTTGTGGGAAGAGAGTGATTTTGTGTGGTTACTTATTGTTGTAGCCTTGGTAGCAGAAAAAATTTCAAAACACTTGCATTTTTCTGTTAATTTCTTTGTGAGGTGTGACCCTTTGTTCGCATTTATGTTGTGGTAATTGCGTGTTTTGGTAGTCTTTTCTTGATTTTGATCAATGAGATGTTGACATTGTAATTTCCTTTTTGGCTGATCAGGATTTTGATGCTCTGGGTGATAAGATCATTTCAAATGAGTTCTTGGTATAATCATGGATTGTTTGCATGTTAGATATTGCATGGAGTTTACGAATTAACGTGTCGTATGATTTGTTCAAGATGATACGCATACGAATTTATTTGTATCTTTTGGATCTTGCTGATACATGTCTTGGGTACTGCAGCCCAGATATTGTGACCGTATATGATTATTAGTCTCACGCATGATCTGTATAAGTTTACTTTTATCTTGGTTTTGCTATTTTTTAAGAGTAGTGGATACAGTCTGTTAAGAGCAGGGTAAGTCGTGTTTGTTTCTCTTTTTTTTTTTTTCTTTGTTACTGCAAGGGCCCAGGTGATTTTTGTGTCTAAGTGTATGCCAAGTATGTATTTGATCGTGGATGTCCAAGGCAAGTTTTGACCTGCTATGATAACTTGATCGAAGAGGCTTGAGCCTCTTGTTGATGAACGTAATGGCTTGCGTCTTCGCCGGGTTGGCTGTGAGTTTCCATTTACAGAAGTATTCTTGAAACTTGTCAATTTTCTTTACGTTTGAAAGTGTATCGGAGTTTCTTAGTTTATCAGCAAAAAATTATCAAGAGTCAAATAAAAATTGTTGCTTTTTACTTGTCGGACATGCACCTTTTCTTCATTAGAATCATTTCTTCTTTGTTTGAACATTAACATTTTAATTCTGTTATAGAACTTTAATTTTAAAAGTTATTATGTTTGATAATTTTTATATTCGATTCGATAATATTTCTAGAGGATCATGTAACTTTAAGCGGATATTTCAGCGGAAAATATAAGAAATCAGAAAGTTAAAAGAGAAAATATAGTTGAGATTATTATATAATTATTTCAGTTTATTAACAGTAAAAAGAAAATTTCGTATGAGAAAATAAAAAATTTCATATCCAGAGAGTTTAAATTGTTTCATCAATGCTCATTCTAACATCGCTATCTTACAATTAGAACGAGAATTGTAAATGGGAACACTACGGACAGTTAGTACTGTTGACTTGTTGTCAAAAACAGTATCGTTAAAGCTATTCATCCAGTACTATAGTTTATCGAAATTTGAGTCAAGATATTTTTGATTTATCTTTATCGAATGGTTCAAGTTTTTTTATTTATCTATCCTAATATGTCTAGGAAATCTGTTTGTCACAATTTTTACAGCAATACAAATGTTTTCCTGTTTAGATATTGTGGAATTATTTCTTTTTTTTTTTTTTTTTTGAAGAGAGTAAAAGTTTTTTATTTACACAATAGAAGTTTAGAATGGAAGTTTAGTTTTAATCAGTTTTATCTGTTTATTAGGAAGCGATATAGGGTAAATATGCGGAAATACGAGTGGCGTATTCATTGAACAAATCGCTCTATCTTCTCGACAAATAAATGCCGAAAAGCCTCGATGAAATAGAATTTAAAATATTTAACCAATATTTTCCTAACGAGAAATTAACATCGTAATGACTCAGCCACAGAAATAGAAACGATAATACAAAACTGTATAGTGTGTAATGGTCAATCATACTTGTGCTTTTTATCAAATGCGATGTCATGCGTGTCATACAACTGTACGTGTTGACAACAGGGCTACCGTTTGGAACATTGCAGTACTTCAATACTGATAGTGGTAACACTCATAAAATTGCAGTTCTTTCATAACTACGTAATTCATAACTCTAATAGTTTCATTCGTCTCATAAAAACCATCAGTGTATATTATTGTAATAAATTCCGACTACACTGTTGAATGTACAGTAATTGCGAGTCCAACATATATATTGTTAGTTGTTCCTATTGTTATTTGTTGTTATTTGTTGTAGCTCTTATTTTTAACACTAACCGAGCAAACGGAGCAGACATATAACTTTAATTTAATTATAAACGCATAATTTAATTAATTTAATTATACACACACAATTCTGTATTGGAATATTCTAGAAAAACAACGATTTGAAATTTTTTATTAATATGAAAATGTTCGATGCTTTTAATTAGGTGCAATTTAAAACGATGACTTGTCTCTTTTCTCATGTTGCCAAGAATTCTGAACGTGGCTGTACGGAAGAACGACTTGTGTCACGTGCTCTCACCTTCAACAGAATTCATTCTAATAACATCGATAATTGTTGACAAATGTATTACTCAGAACGTATTCCCTTTTCCGCAACACCGTAATTTTTAGCCTCGGCGATTGAAAATATCAAGTGAAATGACATATTCGGATAAAAAAACTTTGCTTCATAGCACCAGAGACTGAAAACCGAAATATTTTGAGGTTTAGGTATTATACCGGTTACCTGAAACTGAAATATTGTGAGGTTTAGGTATTATACCGGTAAACTGAAACCGAAACATTGTGAGCTTTAGGTATTATACCGGTATTTGGGAAATCGGTTTTAATACCGGTTTATATACCGGTATGGTACCGCTTTACTGACGAAAACCCATTTTTCATTTTCTACGTACCACTGACTCTTATTAATATTCGGACATCATGCTATTCAAAATATTGTGGATTTCGATTGTTTATAATAGTAAATTTGGATTAATTTTTTAATAATATAATAGAACATTCATTATAGTTTATAGTAACATAAATTTTAT